TGGGCGCGTCTCTTCAAGCGTCCAACATTCGGGGTGAACCTGAGAATACAGAAATCTAAGAGTGAAAATAGAGAATCTAAAAATAAAATAAATAACTGAAAACAATAAATAGCAAGAGATGGAAATTCGTGGGTTGCCTCCCACGCAGCGCCTTTCTTTTATGTCTTTGGCTAGACCATACTCAGTTCAATTCTTGTAGCTTGGCGTGTCCAAAGCTACCCTCTCTAAATCCCTTCCATTAAAGCCTTCATAGAACGGCTTTAGCCTATGGCCGTTAACTTTGAAAATTTGCCCCGTAGATAGACTTTGAATCTCTACTGCACCATGCTCAAAAACAGTTGAAACGACAAAAGGTTCGATCCATCTGGACCTTAACTTACCGGGAAATAACTTTAATTTAGAGTGATAGAGGAGAACTTTCTGACCTTTAGTGAAAGACTTACGTGGAATACGAGAGTCATGGAACGCCTTGGTCTTCGCCTTATAGATGCGAGCATTTTTGTAGGCGTCGTTCCGGATCTCCTCTAACTCTTGAATTTGAAGCTTCCTATGCGATCCCGCTTTATCCTAATCCATATTGCACGTCTTCACCACCCAATACGCCTTGTGCTCTAATTCCACCGGGAGGTGGCAAGGTTTACCGTACACCAACAGGAAAGGAGACATACCTATGGGCGTTTTGTGGGCCGAACGATAGGCCCACAAGGCGTCATTAAGCGTTAAGCTCCAGTCTTTCCGGTTGGGGTTGATAGTCTTCTCCAAAATGGACTTAATTTCTCTATTTGTTACCTCAGTTTGTCCGTTTGACTTTGGATGGTAGGCGGTGGAGATGCGGTGGATAACCCCATATTTCTTGAAAAGTGCGCCGATGACCTTGTTGCAAAAATGGGTGCCTCGATCGCTGATGATGGCCTTGGGCGTCCCGAACCTGGCAAATATGTGAGATTTGACAAAATTTGCAACTACACGAGAATCATCAGTTCGAGTGGCCTTTGCCTCAACCCATTTTGAGACATAGTCAACGGCCAAAATAATATAGAGATTACTAGAAGATGCGGGAAAGGGTCCCATGAAATCCATACCCCAAACATCAAAAATCTCGCATACTAGTATAGGAAATTAGGGCATTTGATTTCGGGAACTAATGTTTCCCGTCATTTGGCATCTCATGCAACTCTTGCAAAAATGATAACAATCTCGCATAAGGGTCGGCCAATACAACCCACACTCTAGTACCTTTCAGTATGTCCGCTTATGGCCGAAGTGACCCCCACAAGCATGGGAGTGACAAAACTGTAAAACAGACTGAAACTCCCCTTGGGGCACACATCGCCAGATAACTTGGTCCGAACAATGTTTCCAAAGGTACGGCTAGTCCCACATGTAGAAACGAGCCTCTCTTCGAATCTTTTCTCTATCGAGTCTAGATAACTCACATGGGAAGCTCTTTGAAACCAAATAATTAACAATATCTGCATACCAAGGGGTTTCGCCCGAAACGAAGAAAATGTGCTCATCTGGAAACTCATCAATGAGTGGGCTTGGCTCTCCATCCAACACTAGCTGGCTAAGGTGGTCAGCAACAATATTTTCAGCTCCGCTCTTATCTCTAATCTCCAAATCGAACTCTTGGAGTAAAAGAATCCACCATATCAACCTCGGCTTTGCGTCTTTCTTCTTGAGCAGGTACTTCAATGCAGCATGATCTGAAAATACAATCACTTTAGTGCCAAGCAGATAAGATCTAAACTTTTCTAAAGCAAAAACAACTGCTAGCAACTCTTTCTCAGTGGTTGAGTAGTTGCATTATGCACTATCAAGTGATCGTGATGCATAATAGATAACATAAGAGCTCTTACCATCTTTTTGTCCCAATACCACTCCGACAGCGTTATTGCTAGCATCACACAATCTCAAATGGCAATTGCCAATTTGGAGGTCGGATGATAGGGGCAGAAGTAAGCATATCTTTCAATAAGTCAAATGAACTCTTACATACCTCATTGAAGACAAAGTATACCTCTTTTTGTAGTAGTTCACAAAGGGGTCGAGTGATCTTGGAGAAGTCTTTTATGAAACGCCGATAGAAACCTGCATGACCAAGAAAAGAACGGACCTCTCTAACACTCGAGGTGTAAGGCAAGGATTTTATGACATCGATTTTTGCCTTGTCAACCTCTATAGCCCTTTCCGAGATAACATGACCAAGTACTATACCTTGGTTGACCATGAAGTGACATTTTTCATAATTTAAAACCAAATTAGTTTCAATGCACCTCTTTAAAATTTCGGTCAAATTATCTAAGCATGAACTAAATGAATCACCATAAACTGTGAAATCGTCCATAAAAACCTCAATAATGTTCCCTACATATTCTGAAAATATACTCACCATACATCGTTGGAATGTCGCCGATGCATTGCAAAGACCGAAAGGCATCCTTCGGTAAGCGAATGTACTGAAGGGGCAGGTGAACGTGGTCTTCTCTTGGTCCTCTCTTGCGACCGGTATATGATGAAAACCTGAATAACCATCCAAAAAACAATAGTGAGTACGACCGGCTAACCTTTCTAACATTTAGTCTATGAATGGAAGGGGAAAATGGTCTTTCCTAGTTGATGAATTAAGCTTACGATAATCAATACATACTCTCCACCCGTTTTGAACACGTGTGGGCACTAACTCACCTTCGACATTCTCTATCACAGTAATGCCAGTTTTCTTAGGAACTACCTGGACCGGGCTTACCCACTTGCTGTCAGAGATTGGGTAGATCATATTGGCGTCCAAAAGCTTGAGTATCTCCTTCTTGACAACTTCCATCATCGGTGGGTTCAACCTCCTTTGCGCCTCTCTGAATGGCTTGTACTCTTCCTCTAGTAGGATCTTGTGCTGGCAAAGTGAGGGACTAAGGCCCTTGATGTCGGCGATGGTCCATCCAATCGCCCTYTTGTGCTCCTTCAAAACATCTACAAGCTCTCTTTCTTCCTTTGGTGACAGTGTGGCGGATATGATCACCGAAAGGGTCTCTTTATCTCCCAAGTAGGCGTACTTCAGATGATGTGGTAGCGTCTTCAATTCTAGCTCGGGTGCCTGTTCAATAGAAGGCAAAAGTCTAGTGTGAGATATAGGCAAATCTATTTTAGAGACTTCATACCTTGGCTTTTGTACTCGCCCTTTCTCTATCCAGGACACCAATTATGCAAAATCATCATCAAGTTTGTACTCTTGGGCAAGCTTCTTCAAACTTCCATTTGTTAAATCCCTGTCTAGATTTACTTCTAACACATCTTCATTAGATAGATCAAACATAGTATCAGATAAAGACTCGATAATATCAACAAAGCATAAAGACGAAACATCACTCGGATATCGCATGGCATCATATATATTAAATTTAATCATCTCGCCATCGAATTCCATGGTCAAACTACCACTATGAACGTCTATCTTAGTCTTAGAGGTYTTCAAAAATGGTCTACCTAGMAAAAGCRTACCGGCSTTGGAGGCATTTTTCTCCTCCATATCTATAACATAAAAATCTGCYGRAAAAACCAATTCATTCACTTGAACAAGCACGTCCTCTAATACCCCTTTAGGGTAGACAATAGACCTATCCGCTAATTGAATTACCACACCGGTTGGCTTGAGGGGCCCTACATCCAAAGATGAGTAGATGGCATATGGCATAACATTAATTGATGCCCCTAAGTCCAACATGGCTTGATTTACCGARACATTGCCTACCTTACATGGTATGGTAAACATGCCCGGGTCTTTACACTTAGGTGGTAACTGTTTTTGCAAAACAGCGGACACATTTTGACTCATGCTTATCTTTTCATTACCCTTTAGTTTCCTTTTATTAGTACAAAGTTCTTTCAAAAACTTAGCATATCTAGGAACTTGCTTAATTGCATCTAATAAAGGGATGTTTACCTGAACTTTCCGAAATATGTCAAGGATCTCCTTCTCTTCGTTCTCCCTCTTTGTCTTCTCAAACCGGCTCGGGAATGGCGGTGCTTGAACTATCACTTTGGGTGTCTTCTTCTTTGCCTCCTCTTCTTTGACATCCTTTGCACCCGGAGTGGATGTCTTGACCTCTAACTCTTCTTCTTTCTCGTGAACCTTTTCCTTCTTCTTCTTTCCAACCTCTTGAAGCTCCTTTCCACTTCTCAAAGTGACAGCACTCACATTTGCCTTCGGATTTGTCTCCGTTTGAGATGGCAACTTACCCTTGTTTGCTAATTGGCCAACGGTGGCCTGAAGGTCCTGAATGCTCGCTTGAGTTTCCTGTTGAAATTTCACCATGTTAGCAGCCATAGACTTAACTAAATCCTCTAATGACGTACCTGAGCCACTAGGAGCTTGAGGTGACACTTGATGTTGATGTTGGGCACTCGGCTGAAATGGTGCCTTCGGTTGATGTTGTTGCTAAAATCCGGGCGGTGCTTGGAATTATTGAGGTTGAAACTGCTGAGGTTGATGGAATGAACCTCTTTGCTGAAATTGTTGACCTTGTCCTTGTCCTTACCTCGGGGCATAGCTTAGATTTGGATGTTGCCTCCAACCGGGGTTGTATGTGCTCGAGAAAGGGTCGGGAGCCCGGTTGTTTGAGTTTTGAAAATTGCCACCCCCAATGGCATTCACTTGCTCTTCTTCTTCATGTAAAGTCGGGCATGCATCGGTGGGATGTGCCACTGATGAGCAAAATCTGCATGCTTTGACTTGAGACATATTACCCATGGCAAGCTGTTTCACAAGGTTAGTCAAATTAGTTATTTTAGTCTCTAAAGATTTAACATGTACCTCACTAGCGTCTCGGCTAATGTCACTCCGTACTCTAAATTGCTTGGAGTTTTCCGCCATGGTGTCTATCAAAGTCCTCGCTTGAGTTGGCGTCTTGTTCACTATAGCTCCTCCGCTCGCAGCATCCATCATCTTTCTTTCTATTGGTAGCAAACCTTCATAAAAATATTGAATTAGTAATTCATCAGAAATACCATGTTGAGGACAACTTACACAAAGGCGCTTGAAGCGCTCCCAATACTCGTATAAAGACTCCATGTCCTTCTGCTTGATCCCACAGATCTCTCTTCTAAGCCCGRCGGCTTTGGATGCGGGAAAGTACTTGTCGAGGAATGCTCTCGCCATTTGCGCCCAAGTGGTGATGGATCCCGACGGTAAGTAGAAAAGCCACTCCCTAGCTGCGTCAACTAGGGAGAATGGAAATGCCTTCAGCTTGAGATTCTCCRCCGTCGTGCCTTGTGGCTTCATCCCCAAGCATACCATGTGGAACTCGGTCATATGCTTGTACGGGTCTTCGTTAGCTGAACCATGAAAACGAGGTAGTAAGTGTATAAACCAGTCTTAAGTTCAGCACTTACCTCTTCCGACGAATAAGTGATGCAAAGAGGTTGCTCGACGACGTTGGGTGCTGCCCATTCCCTTAAAGTGCGTTCGGGATTCGCCATTTCCTCTTCAGTCTCGATTACCGGTTCTTCTTGCTCAGAATGAGGCTTCTCTTCTTCGTCCTCCGTTTGGTCTTCAGAATCAGATGACAACTCAATATCTTTCCAAATATTGAGAACCGGTGAAAAAGTAGATGCGTCTTGCTTCTTTCGAAGCTTAGCTTGCTTTCTTAGCTTCTTTGCGGTTTTCTCAATTTTTGGATCAATTGGCAATGGTGAACCTGCACGAAACGATCTTGGCATAAACAGTTAAACTTTGTCGAGTCCCCAGCAACGGCGCCAAAAATTTGATGGGTGTCGAGTCCGGCAAATAATATAATTTATAAAAATAAGCCTATTATCTCTAAAACACACTTGTAATAGCGATAAGTAGGGTCGTCTCCTCAAGGACTCGGTGTTAACCGTGAGTCCAAGACGCAAATTCATTAACTATAAATCACTATATATAAAAGGGGGGGGGTTGGATGATTTATAAACAGCCTAAATATGCAAAAGAAATTGGAAACTTTAAACACCAATAAGAACAAGACTAGCAATGAGCATCAATCAACTAATCCTTTGGATTATATATCATCGACTCATTCAATCCATTTTCTCAAAAGAAACCAAGTTGGTTAGGACATCGACACGCGTCAATATTCTGTTCGTTATAAAAGCATGATCAGTCTYGAACGCTCTACGACTAACCTCTAATTAGCTAATCAAACCTAGTCACGGACTTAGAATTTAATTGCCAATTGTATTAACGTCAAACAAACCCAACACTAATTGACAATCGAGCGCCGATTGTTTAAATTAGATTATACGATCTTACAACATCATGATTTAACCTAAATGTCAACTGTGTGTCGTGTGCTACTTCAATAAACCGAAAAGCAATTACGGACTTAAAAGTTTATCTAGCAACTCGAAATTGAATTAGACATAACAAGGGATCCTACTCAAAATATCCAACTCAAAACGATAAGCATTCAACTCTAAAATCGCATAAATAGCTTCAAATGAGATTAAAATTGACGTAAGTCTCAACAAATCCAAATTCAAAGTAATCACATGCTCATTACTAGAAATAGAAAATCAGCAACTCATAACTCTATTTTGAAACAAAAATCGAACTCACAGATAGTAGAAAGCAGTAGACCAGGAAGAACCTTAATTTGAGAAATCCMAAATTRACTCTAAAATCTGGAAATCGATTTCAGATTCTTCAAGTTCGGTCCTTTCTTGGCTTCCAGTTTTCTGTTATTGCTACTCGATTTCTGCTGCTGCWCCCTCTTCCTCAATCGAACAGCCCCTTTTTGCTGTCCTTCTTGACTCCCTTTTCTCCTCCAATCGACAGCCCTCGATAGACAAGTTTTGTCGATTTCTCTCCCAATCGACCGGGCTGCTGCTTCCACTCTCTTCAATCCAGAGCCTCTCGATGACAGCTTCGACCGACTGCTATCCCTCTGTTTCGACAGCCTCTGTTTACAGCCCCCTTCGACAGACTGCTTCTTCCCCTTGCGAGTTCTTTTTTTTTTTCAGCTTTTATCGACAGCCTTCTCCTTGATTTCTCCTTCTCGACCGACTTACTACTGCCTCTCGCCTCCAATTGACCGGTTCTGTCTTGCTTCTCTCTATCGACAGCCCTTGTTGTCACTCTCGATTCTGCTGCCTCTCTCGATGACAGCCCCTTTCGATTTACCGCCCCCTTGACCGACTGCTCTCTCCACCTTTTCTTCAATTGACAGCCCCTCTTCCTTTTTAATCGATCCACGTCTCCCATCTCTACCCACGCAAGACTGCCCACGATCTCCTGTTTTGTCTCTCGCTACCCATGTCTCTCTCTCTCTCGCTGCCGATTTCTTCCTCCCGGCTGCTGATTTGGGCAGCAACTTGGGTTTGCTTTTTGGGCTGCCTTTTTGGGCCTAATTTTGGGCTGTTTGAAGACAGCTTCTTTGCTGTTTGGACCCAAAAAAAACAAAACACATAATCAACACATTTTTCTCACCTTTAATAGCCTCATGTAGTTAGATTAATCTTAAATTAAATTGGCCCTTTTTAAGCATATATTTAACATTAATTGTAAGGTACTTTGACGTAAAAAAATGTATATATTTGTGCTTATCAGCCACATTTGAATCACAACTTCCCTTCTTGATCACCCTTTGCTCGTTTTAACACAAAAGCTACATCAACAGAAAGTGCAATACAAAGTCAAACAAAGATACTCGATATAATTCACTGGTTTAAAAATCTATATTCATTTTGATTATTTGAACATTGCATATCTTTCATTTACTCTTTTATGGTAATCCATCAATTCAAGAAAATTAGGTACTCCTATATATTAAGTCATGCCATAAACTGGTGGCAACATCAAATGGTAATAGAATCAATTTCCAAATTTCGTCTGATTTTTAAAGCATTGATAAGTTGTACATGGTGCTCTTTAAAGCATTAATAAGCAGTAGTATCTGCATTAGGACATGTATTTAAGACTTTAAGACTTTTATGAAATCTGCTTGATATGGTAGTATAGCCACCCGATCTTTCAGTTAACTTACAAAGTCAGTCTTATTTCACTACAAAAAGATATGAAATTAATCGCTCAAAAAAAGACGACAAATACCACTAACATCTGCAATAAATAGAGTCTTATCATATACTTAGATTCTAAAATGTAACTCTTAGTGAATGACACAACTCATATACTGATCTAAAACATAAGCAAGTGTCAAGGTGGAAGCATAAAAGATTCTTTTAACTTGATAGTAATATATGTGCGTGGATGGTAACTTAAGAATCCATACTTGGTAGAATCTGACTGAATTTAGCATGAGGCTAAAGTTCATTCCAGTGATGGATATGTCTGTAACAATTGAAATTCCCAACAATCGAAGCGGATTTCTTTTCTTTATTGGGAAGAAATCTAGAGTTCATACAGGGAAAAACATATACCTTAAATTTACAAGGCCGATGAGGATTGAAGTAGACATTCAACAGCATGAGATGTACAATCTACAACTCCCAGAGCTTTAGCATGCTATTAGGGTGGAGATGGTGGAGAGAGCAGAGAGTGGTGCTTGCTAATCAGCTCAACCCAGAGAGACAGATCCAAATTTGTACAAATTATGTCCTAACATTGAAACATAATAAAATCCATCATAGTTCAATCTTTCTTTTTATAAGAAAATGATATACCTGGAGTTGATTGAAAAGTGTCGCTGCATCATATCTTGGTGTTTTGCAATTCTAGAATTGTATGTCTAAAACAGAAAAGCATGTAAGAATATGTTACGACAACAAATAAATATTTGTGCATAAAAATCGAGCAAGTCTATTGGATTATTTTATAAGCATCAAAGAAAGTTTCTTTTAGTATATAGTAAATAAAAAGAAACAAATCACATACTTATTCATCAATGGAGAATGTATTCAAGATTAATTAACAATCAATAAAACCATACCTAGAGATATGAATCAGTTATAGATATGTATGAGAAGATTTGATCACAAAATCAAGCAAAAAAAAAACAAATCAAAACTTGAAAGAACGTAAAGATTAAAAATGGCATAGTTTTTAAAAGATCAAAAGCCATCTCAGGGCTTGAAAGAGGCAAATCCTACAAACTGTAATTTTTGGGGGAGGGGCCAAGAACTAATGTAATAGAAAACATATTCTCATCAGTAAACGAACAAGCATTGATCATTCGTACACTGAATGTGTTCTTTTACATAGGCATACTATTAGAACATGCAAAGGAATTGCATAAAGCATAATATTCTCCCATATAGTTTGGCAAAACATAAATCAATTGTGGCATTACGAGTCTAAGGGTGTGTTTGGTTTGCAGGATTGTTTTTAAGGGTTTTGGATTTTATGGAGGGATTTGGATTTAGAGCGATTTGGACTGGATTGGATTTAAAATCCTTTATTGTGTTTGGTTTGTAGGATTTGGATTGGATTTGAAATCCATTCCTTTATAAATCATGTTTGGTTTGTAGGATTTGGATTGTGATTTTTTTTTCTTTTGTAATTATTTGTTTGTCTTATAAATAATTTATTTTTATTGATAAATTACCTTTTTTATATCAATTTCTTCAATAATGTATACTTGTCTAATACAAGTATGATTCCAAGATGGTAAAAGCTCATACTTTTAATCCAAGTCCAAAGTCGTCCACATGCAATTAATTACTTGTACTTTTGTAGGTTAACGTCCCCAAGACAAAGAAGACTTAATGCAAGTCGAAGGACTGCAGGAAGCATACATTACATAAGGTGACACAATATAAGAAGGGAAAAGATAGCTTGGCTGCACAAGGGAAGCATCGTTATGATAGAAAACAATCAAGTTATGGTGGACAGTCAAAACATATGTTTCACAAGAAGGTGGATGGAGTTTTTGTTTTTATTTGAAACTTTTCTACTTGATAGCAATGATTAACACTAAGCAACTGTGTAGGCTAAAACCACCAAGAAGATTGTGCTCAGGTTACAATGCCAAGGGTGCAAGCATGTGTCCCAGCACCTAATCAAGGTTAGGTTTTTAATTCCTATATATATGTATCTATATATAGTGGTGTTGATATGTAGGTGTAACACCCCAAATATATCTCATTTGTATTTAACACATGTTTCATTACATATAA